GTGTAACCGCTCTATTCCACGTTTTCCACTCAAGTATGTAACCGCTCTATTCAACGTTTTCCACTCAAGTGTGTAACCGCTCTATTCAACGTTTTTCACTCTACGAGCGTTACAATCTAAGGAAGAGTACAACAGAGGAGTTGCACACTTGCAAGAGCACAACCGAGGAGTTGGATATACCTGTAGGAGTAAACTTTTGTTTATCAGTGTACGTCAAGTAATACCTGTGCGTGAATCAACCTTTCACCCTTTCCAAGCAGTATCTCGTCCTTTTTCACCAATCAAAATGCCACTCCGCGACAATGTTTTGTTGATTTTGCTGTCAAAATAATTTTAAAATTACTTCAAAGTTTGAATAGTGACATGTTTTTTGATACATTTTAATGACTTAGTCTTTTCTGAAGACTTTTTTTCATTGAGAGCAAAATGTTTGAATTTCGATGGAAATGAATAGATTGATGTGCTCTATGGGGTTTGGAGAGGGCTGATGCCGCAAGACCGCCCGAGGCTACGAGAGAAAAGCATTTCCTCTGCGAAAGCAGTTTCAGGGGGCCACGGGTCGGGGCGGGCCATTCCGTGCTCGGCGAGGTGCTCGTATGGCTTCAGCCGCAATCGCATTTGGGCCGGGCGGGCTTTGCTCGGGATGGGACAGGACGGGTGGGTCGGGCTGGGAAGCTCTCGTTTCCTCTGCTGATGTGCAGGGTGGGAGAGAGGGACACAGGGAGAGAGGGTGTGTGTGTGTGTGTTGCTCTCTCTCTCTCTTTCTGTGTGAGTGTGTGTGTGTGTGTGTGTGTGTGAGAGAGATTCCCTGGCCAAGCCCTTCCCAGACCAAGCCCGCCGTCGCCGCGGCGCTCCGCCAAAGCCCGACGCCGCCGAGTCGACGCGACGGGAAGCGACGGCTGCACGCCGGGGCGGGGCGGCCGGCCGGGGAAAGGAAACAGTTGGTGGGGGAAGCCGGCGCACGCTGCAGCGCACGATTGTACGGCGCGCCGCGCGGCTTCCCTACCACGTCGCCTCCATAGCTCAGTGGTTAGAGCACTAGTCTCGTAAACTAGGGGTCGAGAGTTCGATTCTCTCTGGGGGCACGCGACACTTTTGCTTTCCAGGCGCGTGGGATAGAGCTGGCGACTGTGAGAACAGGCCGATGCACACCCGTTGATGAATAACTTATAGAATATCTGAAAACGCCGAAATGAGCATTCAGAAGTGGCGAGACTAAAATAACCTCAATGAGCGACCCTTCTGCTTTGAAAAATTATTGAAAAAGATAAACCTTAGTAAAATAATCAATAATGAATTCTTCTGGGAAAACGCGGAATGGAACATGGTCAAAGTATCGCAGACGGTCAGGAAATATGTAAATTTTACTTTACCACCCATCGGTTAAAATATCTGCTTCGTTGTTGAAAATGTTTTACGAAAGCAAAAATCGCTACGTAGCGTCGTATGACGGGCAAATGCCGTGCGGGATTACCCCATGCAGGCAGAGACTCTCGGGCCGGACGGCGCCGCCCCGCTCAGCGGCGATACCCCCTCCAACGGCGGTCACTGCGCGCGCGGCTTATCGCGCCCGGGCCATGCTATCAACTCTATACTCACCCTGCACTTGCCGGTCTCGGCTATGAGCGCGGCACCCCACCGGGTCTTCTTGGGGCCCTCCTTGGTCGGCCGTGACACGCCTCCGGGCGGTGACGGCGCCGTCAGGTTGCCTGACTTGGACAGCTGGTTTGTGAACATGAGCTTGATGTTGGCGTCGTTGGACAGGCGCATCGTCTCGATCATCTCCGGCGGCAGGAAGTCCCTGTTCTTGGCGGCCATGGCGCGGACGTCGTACGTGACCTTGCCAGTGTAGTGCGCCACGACAAAGTTGGAGTCCCCGGCCGCAATGCGAGGTCCCCGTGGTTCGTTGCGAAGAGATTCTGAATTGTCACAATTTAATTAAAAATTATTATAAAATT